CTTTCTTTGGGATTGGAATGAAAACTGACCTTTTCCAGTCCTGTGGCCACTGCTGAGTTTTCCAAATTTGCTGGCATATTGAGTGCAGCACTTTCACAGCATCATCTTTCAGGATTTGAAATAGCTCAGCTGGAATTCCATCACCTCCACCAGCTTTGTTCGTAGTGATGCTTTCTAAGGCCAACCTGACTTCACATTCCAGGATGTCTGGCTCTAGGTGAGTGATCACACCATCGTGATTATCTGGGTCATGAAGATCTTTTTTGTACAGTTCTTCCATGTATCCCTGCCACCTCTTCTTAATATCTTCTGCTTCTGTTGAGTCCATACCATTTCTGTCCTTTATTATGCCCATCTTTGCATGAAATCTTCCCTTGATATCTCTAATTTTCTTGAAGAGATCTCTAGTCTTTCCCCTTCTGTTGTTTTCCTCTATTTCTTTGCATTGGTCACTGAGGAAGGCTTTCTTATCTCTTTGCTATTCTGTTTCTCTGATATTCTTTATCAGGAAGTTCTCTTCTGTTCCTAGATATTAAGTGTTTTTGTGATGAAAGTGTTTTCACCTGTCAAATACTTTTTCTGCATCTATTGAAATAAATTAGTGCTTTTCATCCTTTATGGATAATGGTATGTTACACAGATTGATTTTCAGGTGTTAAACCAACTTTGCTTCCCTGAAATAAATCCCAATTGGCCATGGAATATAATCTTTTTGTACGTTGCTGGATTCAGTTTCCTAGTATTTTGTTAAGGATTGTTGCTGTCCAGTAGCTCAGTCGTGTCCGACTCTCTGCGACCACATGGACCTCAGCACGCCAGGCTTCCCTGTCCTTCACTCTCTCCCAGAGTTTGCTCAGTCTCATGCCCATTGAATCGGTGATGCCATCCAACCATCTCATCCTCTGGATATTTGCATCTATATTCGTAACTGTCACAGTTTCCCCCAAACGTCTCAGCAGATCTGTCAAATGGTAATATTTTCTGCATATTCAAAGAGCAGAGAGATCAGGTAACGTCTGCAAGCCGCACGCCCCTCCCCGAAGGGCTCTGCGTCCTGATCCTCTCCATCGGCCTCTGTACCGCGGCCACCCTGGGGCCTGCCTCACCCACATTGTGTCTTTATCTGCTGCTCTCTGGGTCACTTACTGAGAAGGGTACTTGGGGAAATAAATGTTTCTGTGTACATGAATGCTCAAAAAAAATCTGTATTCTTTCTTACACTCGATTGATGAGGGACTCTGACTTTAAAGTCGTCTTCACAATTTGCTGGACTTTGCCCCAGGTCTTCCAGCCTCCAGGGCTGCTGTTTCTTTATTTAGGACCTGCTCACTTATGTCCCGATGGTCCATTCCAACACGGCCTCCATGCAGGCCTGGTCCAGTCCCGGGGCTGGGTGGGCGCTCGTGGGCCCTTTAGGACTAAGATTCACAATTTTCAGTCTGAGAAGCCATGTTGGCTTTTTGCCTTGACTTTCCTTGACTCCATTCTCTCTGTTTTCTCTTCCCGGAGCCCCTGGAAGGTAGATGTCAGACCTTCAGGATTGACTTTCTAATTTCCTTACTTTGTTCCCTTTCCTAATTTCCACACCTTCATGTGTCTAACCTAATACCTGGAAGATGTTCTTGGCCTTATCCAGTCCTTCTGTCAAACGCCCTTCTCTTTGGTGAGGGACCTCGGTGTCAGTGTCTCCAAAAGAATCTCCAATCTGTTGTTGAGGGGGGACGGCAGCCCACTCCTCAGCTCCCTGGAGCCTGGGGCCTCTGGGACCCTTTTCACCAGAGACACGCCCGGGCGCCTGTGGGGCGGGGCTTGGGCCTGGAGGGCACGGCGTCTGGACGGAGGGCATCCGGGTCCAACGGCTTTGAGGAGACCCTCATCCAACCTTCTGTTCACATACACACACGCTCTCTCACACTCACACACATGTGCATACTCGTGCACAAGCCCACATGCACACACAAATGTGCACATGCCCACATGCCCACATATGCATACACACACACTCACACACGTGCATACTCGTGCGCACGCCCACATGCATGCACAAACATGCACGTGCCCACATGCACACACATGCATACACACACACTCACACACACGTGCATACTCGTGCGCGTGCCCACATGCACGCACAAACGTGCGCGTGCCCACATGCCCACACATGCATACACACACACGTGCATACTCCTGCGCATTCCCACATGCATGCACAAACATGCGCGTGCCCACATGCCCACACATGCATACACACACACTCACACACACGTGCATACTCCTGCGCACGCCCACATGCATGCACAAACATGCGCGTGCCCACATGCCCACACATGCATACACACACTCACACACACGTGCATACTCGTGCGCACGCCCACATGCGCAGACTTACACACGTGCTTGGCCCCCGTGGGCAGGCTGGGCCTCTGCAGACTGGGGGCACTCGGGACAGAGGCTGGCAGACCTTCCCCGGCCCCCAGCCCAGCTGAGGCACGCCCCCCCCACCCACTCTGCGCCCTCCAGGCTGGTGGAGCTCTCTCTGCTGCTCTCTGTGGTTACACCTTTGCACTCCCCCTCCCTCCCCACGTCTTTCCTGCCGTCTTACGGGGTGTGAGCGGGGCGGTCTGTCCTCTGTGTAACCGAGGCCCCAGGTCCACCGTGTCCTCAGGGTCCTACAATGAGGAGGAAGCACCGTGGGCCCCGCGGGGTCTGTGACCCCTGGTGGAGGTGCTGGGCCCACCGGCCCGCTCGCCGACCCCGAGGCCTCTGTGCTCTGCCCTCCAGAACATGCCCAACGTCCGCGACCACGACGCCTCTGTCTACCTCCGCCTGCAGGGGGACGCCTTGTCTGTGGGTGGCTACGAGACCAACCCCATCTTCTGGGAGGAGGTGAGACACCAGGGCTCGAGGGCGGGGCGTAGGGCTGTGTCTCAGAGAGGAGACGCCCTCTTCCGGAGACCCCCGTCCTGGAGCTCTGCCCCCAACTGAGAAGTGGCAGGTCCCCGGTCCCATGAGGTCGAACCCATATTTCTCCAGCCCTTAAGAACCTGGCATGCAGGCAGATACAGACGTGGGGCAGGCGGAGGGCTGGCCTCAAAGCAGCAGAAGTCAGAGGGTGCAGAATATACAGTGGGGACTCCAGCAGATGATGAAGGCGTGTAAGCCCTCCGCCCGTCAGCAAGCCATCCCACACCCTCCCCTGCCTGCCGTAGCTGTGGCTGTGTCTCCCTCAGGCCGGGGCTGCTCTCCGGGCAGCTTCTGGGGTTCATCCAGACCCAGCACCCTTCTCCGCACCCTCAGCCACCTCAGCCACGTATGGGCAACCCCAGCTCCCTTATTCATGTGTTTAGCCTTCAAATTGAACAATAAAATGACTCCTTTCGGCCAGATACTGGTTTACTTTGGGGAGATAAAAGTGCCCATTCCCAGCGGCCTGTACTCTGGTGGGGAGACCCACAATAAACAAACAAAGCCATCACACAGTTTGAGATGGTGACCTGAACCTGAGTGAAGTTAGCAGGCTGAGGGTGAGCCTAGCAAGACTGACGTGGAAGGGTGTCCTTCAGACTGCGGTCAGGCAGGGCTGGACATCTGAGTGGACCCTGCAGAGGGTGGGTGGGGAGCAGCTCGCCCGTGCAGGGGAGGGCCCTGCGGTCAGACCAAGCTTGCTGTCCTCCAAGAACCGAAGGAAGGTCAGCGTGGCTGTGGGTCCATGGTGGACGTGGGCGGGGCCCGCTCATGTAGGGTTTTAAGAGACACAGAGTCGCAGCGGGTCTTGGGGGGCTCAAGAGCAGGAAAGGGCCTGATCTGACGTGGGCGAACGGGGTGGAGGAGGGCAGCAAGCAGGAGGCCATTGCTACAGTCCCGGGCGGAGCAGGTGGGCCTGGGNGGCGGTGCTGTATGTCCTCCTCCCTGCAGGTGACAGACGTAAGCTCGTGGGGGGCAGTCGTCTGCCCCGGGCCCCCAGCCATGCCTCCTCCCGCCCACCTCGCGTGAGCCCCGCTGGGGGCCCGCTGGGGCCCAGTCCCCGCTTGAACTCGGCGCTTCAGCTGTAAGACGGGGTGAGCCCCTCCCAGCGCCCAGGGAAGCTGAGCCAGGGGAGCAAGGGCCACGCTGGTTCCCGATGCTGTTCACTCAGGGCTGTGGGCCTCCCGGGTCGGCCTCGCCCCTCTGCCCTCTGCCCTCCGGCCACACTCCCTCAGCGTGGAAAGGCCCCACCTGGGGCCTCCCCTCAGGTCCCCAGGATTGCTGGGCTGCAGGACGCGTGACCCAGACAGCTCAGCTTCTGAGTGCCCGTCCTGGGTACGCAGGGCGCAGTCCCCACCCTGCCCACCGGCCGGCCGGGTCAGGCACCAGGCTGGGGCAGACTGGGGCCCTTGGTGCTGGCATGTTTGGCCAGTTGTTTGCTGTGGTAGGGCCTGCCGCAGATGTTCAAAGTGTTGTGTCGGGGTCACTCAGAGCTCGGCGGGGAGAGGGGCCCGCTCCGTGACCGGGCCTGGGGCAGGGTCGTCCTGGGCTACGTGTGGCACGGGTCAGGGCTTGCGGGGGCCCCGAGACATCACTGGCGCCTCATCTGGGCCAGAGGCAGGCTCTTGCCGCTGGCAGGGCAGACCCAGGGCGGCGGGGAAGGCGCTCTGACAGGAGGTACAGGGCTGGTAGGTACAGGGTGGGCCACCCAGAGTGCGCCGTTAGGGGGGCTTTGGGGCCAGGGTTCTAGGAGAGGGAGCAGGCCTGCAGGTGCAGACATGGCGCCCCATCCTGGCTCCAGCAGAATCACAGGAGTGTCCCCGCCTTCCTGCAGAGGGGCCCCTTCAATCCTCAACAAAGGCAAGAAGTGGGGAGCGTGTGCCTACCTAGCCGTGGAGAGAGGGTCAGAGGACAGCTGCCCAGAGAGGGAACACTGTGTCTGAAGCTCTACGTTCCTTGAGCCTCGGTGTCCTCGTCTGTGAAATGGGTGACAGACGAAGTGAGGAGGGGAAGCCACATGTAAGAGGCAGGGCGAGGCCCGGCCAGCAAAGGACGCTGCAGGCTGGCGGGCAACGTTGTCCCTGCAGGCCAAGCAGGGGGTGAGGGGTGGGCCAGGCCAGAGGAGGGGAGGGATCCCGACACTCAGCCTGTGGCCTGCCGGGCGCCCGGCCCTCATGGTCTCAGCTGGGGTCCAGACAGCCGCCAGCCCTGGCTGCTTCAGTCTTTTAGGCTCATGAAGGAGCAAAGGTGAGCGGGCAGCTTTCCTGGAAGAGGTAGCTGGGGTCCCCCCGACCAGCCCAGGGGGGTTCGGGGAGCAGGGTTCGGGGCTCAGGCCGAGGACTCACTGCCCTGGGGCTTCCCGGGCCTAGTGGGGCAGGCAGGGAGAAAGCCAAGGCGAAAGCGAAGTTGCTCAGTCATGTCCGACTCTTTGTGACCCCAGGGACTGTAGCCTATGAGGTTCCTCCATCCATGGAATTTTCCAGGCAAGAGTGCTGCCAGGCCGGAGGCAATCCCAGGGAGCGTCCTGGCTGTAATGGGACTGCGGGTCATTGCCCCGAGAAGCCCCACTGCGGGGATGTGTCTGTCAGGACCCCTGGAGGCTGGTTTTCCAGCCTGAGGAAGGTTCTCTGGGGACACGGGCCCTTCTGCTAGCCGGTCAACAGCCCTCGGCCTCTGGGACAGAACAGGGAAGTCCCAGGACCCTTGACTTCGGGAAGCTGGGGGCCAGCAGATCTCTGGTTCCAAGGTCGGGAGGTCAGAGGCAAGTTTGGGGGCCCCTGTCCCGGGCATCCGGCATCCTCTTGAGTCATTTGTTAAACATCCAGGTGACCCTTGACCCCCAAACTTCCCTCCTGCTAGCCTTCTGTGAAGACTGTTCAGAACACTCTGGAAACATTTCCAGCACTCCCGGAATGCTCACCGGGTCACCCCCAAACACAGCCATCTCGGGAGCCGCCCCGGCCTCACCCAACGCCCTCCTGGCCTCCCCTGGTTGCCCTTGCAGCCCGATTGCACACAAGCCCCCTCATGGGACCCAGGCCCCCCGACGCCCCCACTGGAGGCCCGCCAGGGTCACTGTGGCCTCCAAGGCCCTCACCGGGGGCCCTGCCCTTCCGTCCGCTTGCCTCCTCCACCCTGCCCTGCGGCTCTTTGGAAGTCTTTCCAGGTCTCCAGGGCTGGCGGCCTCCTCCAGCTCAGATGCTGAGGGGCGGAGACCAGGCTCGGCCGGTCACCGGCAGGGAGCAGGACAGCACTTGTGACCAGCACACACGGAGCTTAGGACTCCGGCTGGGAGCCCGGGGCCCTGACCGGCCAGGCAGCGTCCTCCTCTCTGACCCAGGGTTCTGATGGCGCCGGCATGGTGGTTAGGAGCGGCCCGCCCTCCGGTCACTCCAGACCCCTTATCCTGCAGCGTTTTTTCCTCCAGACACCTCTTTTTTGCTTACTCATGCTCTGGCTCTCTGTCCATCTCTCTCTCCTGGCGGCTCCCCGAGGGATGGGGCTTGTCCAGTCACCTCCCACGGCAGAGTTCTGCGCACAGACAGGTGGGCTGCAAATATTTGTGACCGAGCAACTCACAGTCCTGTGAAGTCCGCGGTCATCGGGACCATGATCCCCATGTTACAGATAAGGGGTCCAAGGCTCCCCTGGGCCAAGGTCACACGGCCGGGAATCAGTAAAGCAGGATTTGAACCCAGGACTGTGGCTGCCAAGTGCAGCTCTTTATAATCACACCAGAGTGGGTAGCAGCAAGAATACGGCAGTGGGTAGCGATTCCCTTCTCCAGGGGATCTTCCCGACCCAGAGATTGAACCTGGGCCTCCCACATTGCAGGTGGATTCTTTACCGTCTCAGCCACCAGGGAAGCCCTTTTAAATCATGCTCCAGCGTCCCTCTCCACCAGTCCTAACCTCTGTCCCCAGCACGCTGGCGGCAGACAGAAGCCAGAGGCTTGGTCCCCTCTCCCAAAGAACTTACCACGCTTCATTCACTGAGTGAGCATGTATCAAGCACTGACTGTTTGCTGGACCCTGTGCCTTGCGATCCGGCAGTGAGCAAAGCCCTGCCCTCGAGTTGCCCGTAGTCCAGCCGGCCGGAACGCCCTGCCGTGACACAGCGGGGAGATGGCACAGTGACGGGAAGCCACGTGCTGTGCCGGGGGCTCGGGGAGAGGCCCCCCACCAGCAGGAAGTCACAAGACACACCAGGGCCCCACAAGGCAGAGCCCCGTTCAGGTCATCAGGGGGGAGGACCTCAGCGGAATGTGGCGGGGACCGCCATCAGGGAGGAAGCCGCCCCGAACTACGTCTTGAGGATGGGGAGGGTCTGGATGGACTGTCCTCCCCCACCTCAGTCACTGCCCTCTTGGGAGACCCCACCCAGGAGCATGTGGCCGGGAGGGACCCTCAGGCTCCCCGCTCCCTTTCAGAGTCATTCACCCCGGACCACAAGCCCCTGATGGGGGAGGCGCCCGAGCTCCGCGGGTTCTTCCTGGGCTGCGGCTTCAACAGTGCAGGTGAGTGCGGGCAGTGGGGCCTCCCCGACTCCTGCCATCTCAGCAGGGAGGGGCCCAGCTGGGCTCTCCTCCAGTTCTCAGAGCCGCCCCTTCCTGGGGTGGGGGTGGGCCTAGGAGCGCTGTGGCTGGGACAGGGGTGGAGAGGGGACAGGCCTGCCAGGGGGAGGCACGTGGCACCCCAGGGGTGAGATCCAGGGCGTAGGGGCTGATGCTGCCCACAGAGGTGGGAGGGGCACGGAGGCGGGGTGCAGGGCCCTGGGGGCGGATTTCAGACCCGCAGCTCTCTGCTCCTGCCAGGGATGATGCTGGGCGGTGGCTGTGGGCAGCAGCTGGCCTCCTGGATCGTCCACGGGCGCCCCGAGAAGGACATGCACAGCTATGACATCAGGCAAGTGCCCACTGGGGCCCGTGGGCTGGTGGTGGCTGCCCTGGAATGGGGCAGCAGTGGTGATGGTTCAGTCACTAAGTTGTGTCCAACTCTTGAGACCCATGGGCTGTAGCCCTCCAGGCTCCTCTGTCCATGGGATTCTCCAGGCAAGAGTACTGGAGCGGGTTGCCATTTCCTTCTCCAGGGGATCTTCCCGACCCAGGGGTTGAACCTGGGTCCCCTGCATTGCAGGCAGATTCTTTACCAACTGAGCTATAAGGGAAGCTTCTAGGATGGGGTGGGGTGGGGTAAATATCCCGGGCTCTTTAGAAAGGAGCCTTCCCTGAAATCCAGAGGACTTCCTGGAAGAGGTGGCAGTAAGCAAAGAATGAAGAAGCCAGGTGGGGGGAGGGGGCGGTGCTGCAGGGTGCCTGGGTTTGGCAAATCCACCGTCATCTACAGTTTCCAGGACCTCTCGTCCCAGTGTCCTGCCTGACCCACCCGACGGCTCTGGGGTCAGCAGTGGGATCTCATCCTCCCACTTTGCAGATGGGGAGACTGAGGCCGGGGGAGCAGGCTGCCCGGGGATGGGGCCGAGCTGGGCGGCCACTGCTGGGACGCGAGCACGTCTGGGAGGCAGGCAGCCCTGAGTGAGACGTCCGCCGCACGCTTCGCTCACAGGGCGACTAGAATAAATCGGACACCGTGCCAGCCCGTCCCTCTGTAGCCGGGGTATGAGCTGCTTGCTGTAGATGTCACTGGGAGCAGAGAGCGTGTCTGAGTAGGTAGAATGCTCAGCATCAGGTCTGCGCGTGAAACACTAGAGAAAACTGAGCTGAGGGCAGTGCGGGTGCGGGGGGCTGCTATCGGAGCTGGGCAGTGTCCTCTGTGAGCGGGAGCAGTGATGGGCTTCCGGTCCCCAGGTGGCAGTTCAGCAGCCTGAGCACCGCAGGTGGCAGAGGAGACTGCGGGTTGGAGAGGCCTCCGTGGGGGTCCAGCCTGTGGCGCTGTGACGGCTCCGGGCAGATGGGCTCCCTGGAGAGACCCCAGCTGCCCGGCAGGGCTGGAGGTGGGGAGGGGCGGTGGAGATCGCACTGGTTCAGCTCAGCATGCCCCCACTCCTCTGATAACCTCGCCCTGTCCTGGCCTGATGGGGATTTTGCGTCCACGGGGGTTGTCTGACCCCCCGCAGACAGGGAGGCATACCCTGAGATCCCCTCCCTGCGACCACCCCTCCCGTGGCGCCTGGCACAGCACAGTCTGCTGCCTCGGAGACAGTCTGGGGCTGTGCCCACGTGCTTTCCCAAGAGAGGAATGTTCCAGAGATGAAAGCTGCCCAGAGCCTCAGGGATGGGCCAGCCCCAGCCCCTCCCGCTACAAATGGCAGAGCAGAGGAGCCCTCATGGGAGGCAGCTCGCCTGAAGTCACCACAGCAGCCCAGCTCCAGGCCTACAGGCTGTCTGCCGTCTCCCCTCCCTCTGAGTTAGGGCCTCCGCCCTGGGATCCGATGGACCAGGGTGCAGCCTGGGCCTTGCTGATGGCCTCCTGCCTCCAGGGCTGGCGGGTGCGCCCCACCCCCAGGGGCTCTGGGCCTCCCTCCCTCCCTGCCTTCTCTCACAAGCGAGACATCAGTGGGAGCGTCTTGGGGGCCCCTTCGTGGGTGCGTGCAGAGCTGCTGCCTCTGCCCCAGCCAGCTGGGGCCTCGGGGCACAGATTGGAGAGCAGAGGGCCCCAGGAGGGAGACCCCCGAGCACTGTGACCTCGGGGGCTGTGGGCTGGGGGCTGTGGTCTGGTCCGCCAGCTCTTCTGGCCCCAGCAGTGGATCCCAGGAGACGACCAGCTGAAGACATCAGACCCAAGTGGTCCTTGAGGTGGGACTTCGTGCCCACCCCGCACCACGCCCCGTCCCCACGCATATACGGGATGGCCGCCACCCCCAGGCCAGCCGCCAGCATGGCATTCGGGGCCTCTCAGCACTAATGAGCGGTTCTGCCTCCCCGGCCCGAGCCGGGGTGGAGATGGGCCCCGAAGAAGGCAGGGCAGGGAAAAGAGGGCCCTGCGTGGGGAGCAGGGGGCCGCACTCACCCCCATGCTCAGACATGCAGGGGGTTGGAGCCGAGCCCCGGCCTGCGTCACCTCTTCCTGTTACACGTGGAGGGCAGGCTTGGGCACGGAGGTGATGACAGGGGATCACCCGTGGGGGAGGCTCCTGGGGCGGGACCCCACCTGGTGGCCTTACAGGGGGGCTGTGGCACCCCCTCTGGAACCCAGACAGGTTCTCAGCCACCCCAGCCCCCCCAACCCCCCCGAGTTAGCTGTGCGGCCCTCAGCCAATTCCCTTCTCTGACCTGGGTCTCCCCACCCGTGAGATGGGGACAAGGGTCCCCTCTCCTAGCGGAGGTGTTTGAGGTTCACGATATGGATGTGTCCACCCGGCGCCTAACCTAGGCGAGGCCCAGAGCATAGGCCATTGGTTTTAGGAAAGTCGCTGGGGTCCTGGCAACCAGGAAAGGAGAGGTCACGCCTTATAAAGTCAGGAGGGCGGCTGGGCGCAGGCCCCCGGCTGCAGGTTCCTCTGCCCGCCCGTGTGCAGGTGGAGAACGGCAGCCTGGTCTCTGCGGGCCCCGGGGAATGGCCCTCATCCTGCTGACCCCTGCTGGTGCTCTGGCTGAGCCGAGTGCCCGCTCCTGACACCCATGGGTGTGCACAGGTGTGAGCAGAGGGCCGGTGGGGGCTGGTCCATGTGGGCAGGATCTGTCTGTTCGGGGGCCACCCAGCCCTGCCCTGGGCCGGTGCCCCTCGGTCCTGGCTACACCTGGGCCCCCTCCCCAGACCCCCATCCACGAGCCGCCTTCGTGCTGAAACTCCTGGCTCGGCGCAGGCGGGTCTGCTGTCCCATGCAAGGAGTCAAACCAGGAGCCCCGCACTCGAGGCCGCTCTGAGGACCAGCCCCGGGTTCTCGCAGCTGGCTCCCAGCCCTGGGCTGGCCCTGGAGGAGAGCCCCTTACGCGGCAGCAGCCACTGTGAATAGAGTCAGCGTCAGAACCCTCACGAGTGTGGTCCCGCTGCCCCGCCCGGATCGGGGAACCGCGCAGAATAGAATCTGTGAACTGAGGGCCAGGCAGGCACCATGAGGCCCGGGCAGGCTCCCTGAGGACGGCAGCGCGGTGGGCACGCAGCCGGGGGGCAGGACCCTGGGGGACAAGCGAGATGCCCACAGGCGGGGGGATGGTGGGGGCTGGAGGGTGCTGCGCTGGGCGCCTGAGAGCTGGGCTGAGCCCGGGGAGGGCGGCAGGGCCCAGAGGCTGTGCTCAGTCTGGCTCGGGCGGCCCCGTGGTCCAAGGGCGCCAGGCAGAAGGGCCGTCGGGCGGCCCGGCCATCGCGCCCGTGAGCAGGCTGGGGGAGGTGCCTGAGCCCTGGGGGGGGTGCTTTTGGGTTTGGGGGGAAGGGTTGAGGGCCGGGAGGTTGGGGTTGGCCCCCCTGGGGGTGACGCGGCTGCACCTGGCGTCCCCCCAGCAGCCAAGGGACAAACCTGCGGGGATCCTGGTCACAGTGTCTCTGGGTGCAGGGTCCGCAGCCACAGCTAGGGTCTCCAGATGAGCCTCTGTGCCTCTTGGGGGAGTCTCACCTTCACCCCTTTTTTCTGCCGAGGGGGCCCTGCGGAGTAAGGGGCCCTCTGTCACACCTGCTGACCCCAGACTCTGAAGACCCCAATGTTAACTTCCACTAGAAGGTCCGGGCTTCTGGGCCGCTCCCCAGGAGGGCGAGAGGCGTGGCTCACCCCCAGCGCGCGCGGCCCCAGCCTGAGGCCCTGCGCCCACGGCGTCTGGTCCCTGTGCCTGATGGCTGTGGGGGCTGCAGGCGAGGAGGCTGAGCTCCCCAAGGCTTGGGGGTGCACGAAGCCCCTCGGGGGAGGACTCTGGGAGAGGATGAGGGCCCCCCGGGTGGTGACGCGCCCCTCTCTGTCCACAACAGGCGCTTCCACCGCTCGCTCACGGACCACAGCCGGTGGATCCGCGAGCGCAGCCACGAGGCCTATGCCAAGAACTACTCCGTCGTCTTCCCCCACGACGAGCCTCTGGCCGGACGCAACATGCGGACAGACCCCCTGCATGAGGTACCCCAGCCCCACACGCCTCCTCTGGGCTGGCTGCGGCACTCTCGGGGGGTCCTGGGTGTGGGGCGACAGCGTGCACGCGGCACCCCGGCTGCAGGGCACATGAGGTATCGAGGCGGCTGGTTCGCTCCCGGCATCTGAGGGTAAAACACACTTGGAGCCGCATAGCAGGCGGGGGAGCTGCGGGGGCAGGTGTGTGCGGTCACCGGTCAGGAGGTCGAGCCAGGCAGCAGCCTGCCTGGGCCGTCGTTTCTCCTGACAAACTTCTACTCATATGATGAAACCCGTCTTCGGGTGCCCTTTCCTGCGACCTGCCCCTCGGCACTCTGCCAGGCCCCCAGCAACCCAGGCTCCGTGCCCCGTTCCTCTCACCCCCATTCCATCTCCATTCCCTGCTTCCTTGCCCTCGTCTTGGGCTGCATGCTTTGCTTACCAGTCTACAAGGACCCAGCCAGAGGGAGACTGGGCCTGTCTCTGGGTGCAGAGCCTGACTCTGGATAGATGCTCAGGGAATGCCCAACCCCTGGACGGGTGGAGCAGGAGGCAGGCAGCAGGCTCAGTAAGCAGGTCACATTTACAGAAGACGGAGCCTCTTTCCTCTGAGACTAGTCCCTGGACCCTGGAGGCAGCTGGCATCCACGCACACTCCCCGCTACCCCATAGGACAGAGACACAGGTTCCTGGGCTGCCCCGCTCTCCGGCCTGGCCTGGAGGGCCCGGGGGGAATCTTTGGACCCCTGTGGGTTCAGGTTCCCCCTGCCTACCACCAGACTTTCATCACCCACACTGTCCACATGGCCCAGGTGCTTCCCAAGGGTACAGGGTTGCTTCACAGCCCCGGGGTGGAAGGAGCCGGGCGCAGACAAGTTGCCCAGGCATGTGCAGTTGTGCCCGGAGGGGACTTGGCGGGCTCACAGCCGTGCCCCCAGGGAGGCATCTGCGTTCACGCACACCTCCGCTTCCTCCCCAGCAGCCCCCTCGTGACTCCTCCTAGCCGCTGACGGCTGACATGTGTCGCTGGGGAGGTGACTTGGCTCGGGCGGAGGCGTCCCCATTCTCACTGGAGGGGAGCAGGTTTTGTGTCCTTAGTTCCCAGCCCCTGGGACGCCCAGGGAGACGTATCCGGGTGACACCAGCGGACATGTGACCGCGTGCGCCCTCCCCCGTGAGGCTGGCGGCCCACAGGGAGGGGGAGACACAGGCCATCTGGGCCTCAGTGCCCGTTGGTCCTGGCTGGCACTTGCAAGTCCTGCCAGACTCAGCTTCCGAGGCCCACTCCTCCTGGGCTCCGGACATGGCTGGGCCCTGGCCCCAGGACCTTCCAAACCCAAGAGTGGAGATACTTTTCTTCCCCACAAACCGCATTTATTTTCAAAGAGATCTGCCACTGTAATAAGTTACTGAGTCGGCTGTACTTTTTTATTGTGGCAAAGTGCGTGTAGCATACAACTCGCCATTTGAGCCTAAAGTGCTCAGTTCAGGGGTCTTCAGGGCCTCCACGCTGCTGTGCGACCATCACCTCCAGCTAGTTCCAGAACGTTCTCGTCACCACAAGAAGAAGCCTTGTACCCGTTAAGCAATTAACTCCCCATCCCCCCGTCTTCCAGCCTCGCAAAAGTGAAAGTATTAGTCGCTCAGTCGTGTCTGACTCTGTGACCCCACGGACTGTAGCCCGCCGGGCTCCTCTGTCCGTGGGACTCTCCAGGCAAGAACACTGGAGTGGGTTGCCATGCCCTCCTCCAGGGGATCTTCCCTACCCAGGGATCGAAGCCGGGTCTCCTGCGTTGCAGGCGGATTCTTTACATCTGAGCGCCAGTGCTTCTCTGTCTGTCTCTGGGGGTTGGCCTCGTCTAGTCATTTCTGTAAATGGGATCATACACTATGTGGCCTTCGGGGACTTGCTCCTTCTCCTTCGCTTGCTCCTGGGGTTCGTCTGTGATGTAAGAGGTGTCAGAATGTCCTTCCTGTCGGAGGCTAACACCCCGTCGCATGGATGGGCCACACTCGTCACCCCTGCATCCGTCAGCTGATGGGCCTCTGGACTGTTGAGAATGCGTGTGTGCACAGCTTGGCTGTTCCCCTGGTTTCGTTTCTCCGGGGTGGACTCCTAGCTGTGGCCTCGCGGGGTCCCCGGCTGTCCCGTAACAAACGCCACCAGCCGGGGGGCTCGGGCTCATTTCTCACCGTGCCGGGCGCTGGATGGTCAGGGGTAAAGGTGCCCACCGCCCGGTTCCTGGCGAGGGCCCTCTTCCTGGCTTCGGGACGGTCGTCTCCCCGCCGTGCCGGCTCCTCCTCTCCACCCTTGGGCCCTCAATTTCCCTAATCCCCTCCTCTCCAGCCCTGTCCCAGGTACAGTCACTCTGGGGATCGGGCCTCAACACAGGAGTGTGGGGTGCAGCTCAGTCTTCAGGAGAAGCTTGTTCTACCGACTGGGGATTCCTAGGGCGGGCAGCCGGGGTGCTGGGGAAGCCCTGGAGCTGGACTCAGAGCCTGGGCTCGGGTCCCGGGTCCGAGCGCCGGCACCTCTTTGTCCCGCGCCCCCTGAGGTGTCAGGTGGCAGGTCCCGGCCCCCCTGCCCCGCTCTGGGGGCCCGCTGGGCCTGAGTCTGCTTGC